TGCCCTGAGGCCAATCCTTTGTGCTTAAAGACTGGCACCGACACAGGTGAAATACTAAGACTACTGGACTGTAGAACATCAAATCTCTGAAACGAATGCAAAGGACCTCAAGTGATGGAGGAAGCAACGGGTAACCTTGGGTCACAAGGTGAAACGTAGAGGAACAAGAACCTTGCAGCCGAGGAAGCACAGGCTGAGACTGCCCTGAGGCCAATCCTTTGTGCTTAAAGACTGGCACCGACATGGCCCTGCCTGCTGTAAATGACATGAGGACTTCTGCAGATCATCTCCAACAATTGGACTGGCTCATGGTCTACTCCTCCATGTTTCAAAACATTTTAGCACCTATGTAACCTACTTTAAATACAGTCTAGAAAATCCTGCCAACTCTTATGTAAGAGGGACAACCTATTCTTACTCATGCAGCTAGGTGTGAACCAATATGCGTGCTTATTTCATTATTAAATCGTGATTGGTGTGTTTCAGTCAAGCAGTCTGCAGGCGGTTTCCGTGCTAATTTCATTATTAAATCGTGATTGCTGTGTTTCAGTCAAGCAGTCTGCAGGCGGTTTTTCAACGCTTTCAGCACAAAACACAAGCTGAGATGTGAGTCTGGCTGGTGGAGGGCTCTAATGCAACCACAGAGTGAACGACTTGCTCTGCCTGTCTGTCCTGTATGTTCAACCCTTCATGCTGCCCTGGGAGAGAAATCCAGCATTCGGGGTCCCCCCACAGTGGACAAGCAAGGAACGGTGAGGGGACTTAGGGTCTTAGAGCTCTGCAATGTTTCTTTTTGCTGGAGGGGGAGCAATCAGGCTCACAAAAGAGGATGCTGAAGTAAGAGAAACGGCATCAGGAAAACCTTAAAATACAAGAGAACTGTTGATCTTTTTGGACGATTCCTGCTTTCTTCTGCTTACTTTTAGAGGCTGTTGGTTGTGAAACGCACTGGCAATACGTGCAACATTCAGCCTGACTGGCATGTTGCTGTTGGGGCTTTTTTGCTTTTACATGCCTTGGTTCCTGCTAAACGTCACTGCAACATGGAAAGCTTGGCTGCTAGAAAACCCAGGAAATTTCTGGTGACTGTACTATCACATGAAACAAGGAAGACTCAAAGCTCTGAAGGTCCCTCTCAGGTGTTCTTCCCTTATCTCACAGCTCCTGAGCACCACTAGTTTTGGTTAGTTAGTTTAAATGGTTTCAAATTAATTAGAACCTATCTCACAGCTCCTGAGCACCACTAGTTTGGGTTAGTTTAAATGGTTTCAAATTAATTAGAACCCTTCTGATAGCAATGGGAGATCCACTACCTACAGAAGGTAACGTTGAGTCTTGAGGATGTTCTCTGGTCCATCTGCCAGGACAGAGCAGAGTGTGTGGCTATCAGGAGGTGCAACTGCTCTTGTCAAGCTGACATGTGAAATGTTCCTCGAGTTCATCTGGATTTTACACCTTTCTGTCGTAGGCAATCTTGCTATTACTTTGCTATGGTTTACCCTTTCATAGAGGAATTACAATGACCCTACTTTCTTTTATTTCCACACTAGCTCATGTCATCTTTATCTAAAAGAAAGAAAGAAAAATCCTCCAAGCCACCTTATCTCTGGAAAATGAAACTATCGATAGCACATCTTCATTTGTGGTCTTTGCAAGCTCTTACATCTTGATGACTGTACACAGCAAATGTAAACCAAGCTGGTGTGTTATCTTGGTGGTTTTCTTCTGCAGGGAATCTTTTCTCCTACATTAAAAAAACCCAAGCTCTACAGGGTTTCTTGGAAACTGTACAGTGGGATGCAAATTCTCTCATGAGAACTCAGAAGATCTGAAGGTGAAGACACTGATCTGGAAATTGGATGCCTGTGCAGCATTTTCAGTTAATCAATCTATGACCAAAATAGGTGCATTAGAAGAGAATATATCCCAAAGTATTTACACATAAACCAAAAATGAACAGGATGTTAGATGAGGATTTCCAAAGGAGTCAAAGGAAACTGCTTGTAAGAGACCACAGAAATAGATTGGGTGAGTTCTGTGTGCTCACCTTTTCCAAATCCCTGTTCTGGGCTGGAATCTTATGATCCTGTCACTCAGAAGTGTGACCTTGAACCAGGCACCTCCAGCTGAGGTGCTGACCTGGTGCTGGCCGTGTCCTTGGCTGACGGAGCTGATGGAACTCTCTGCCTCCTTCCTCCCTCTGCTTGTCCACCGCATCCTTAAATACACAGGATGTGCGACGAAGTATGGGGACATAGCCAGGTTCCCCAATGGCAGTGTAGAAGAGTTTCTCTGGCTAACGCACCTTTGAGCTTGGTTACATTTATTAAAAATCCTGGGCTTCAGTACTTGGTTTTGTTTCTAATTTTTGAAGCCGGAAAGCTTAAAAGGAAAGAAAAAGCTTCAGAAGGGACCAGACTTAGCCTTGGTGGCTCTGCACTTTGACTACCAGCCTTTTGAAGCCTGTGGATTTTGACCTCAAAGGGACACGGACTCCCACAGTCACTTTGCTCCCTACTGCAGTTTGGCTACTCAATGTATTATGAATTTGTTTCAGGTTTTTTTAAGTGATGGTCAAATCCCCTCTTCCTTCCTCTCTACATTTTGGCTGGCATTGCTGAAAGAGAGATTAAGGGATAGGAACTGAGGGAAATGAGATACCTAGACATGAGGACAAGAAATAAACTTCCGATTGTATCTAGAATAAAAACAACAACGTATTTTTGAAAACACGTTGCAGCAGCTCGTCATCAAAATGAAGACTTCATCAAACCTAAGTGTCTAACTATTATATTTAAATGCTGGTCTTTTTGCTGGGATGGGAGAAAGTATTAATTTACGCAGTTCTTAGAGCCTAAATACTTCAAAGAGAAGCCATAACCAGTGCCACTCACTTCTGTGTTCAATCCAGTGCCGCTCTAACCAACACATGGGAAGCTCTTTCTCTGCCAATTGAACTTTTGGTGATTTCTGAGTCACTGCAAAATGACTACAGCTTCTCTTATGACCCATTTGCCCTGGAGCAGTGACAGCATGAGACTGCTCTCACTGAGCAATGAAACAGAAATGAAAAGATGTAGAGATAGCGCTGGCACTGCTGGCAGACAGAGCCTGTGAGGAGGAACTGCAGGCTCGGGGCTCTGCCGTTCCGATTTTCAACTAGTAACAAAACTACAGATCTTGTCATTTTGGGGCTATAGGCCTGGGAAGAAGTTGTCTGATCTGCTCACTGTCCAGTGAAGGTAATTACCTCTCATGTGTGAAAAGGTCCTAATTCTGTATCTTGCATGCAATTTATGCCACCAACCGCTTTCACTTACAGAGCATGGCAGCTCCCTTGAGACATCATTTCCTAGGAGAAGAGGCCCTAGAGACGCTGCTGAGTATATCGGATTTTGTGAAATCCTTGCAAAGACAGAGCATAGCAGTTACGGGGCAAAATGGGATTTCTAATGAACATATTGTCCTTAAAAACAAGAAGCAGTAGAAACTCCTGGCTGTCACAATGAGCCTCTTGCCCCTCTCTCCCTGTGACTTGTTACCATATTCCTTGCACAACCCTGGCTAAATCGAAGATGCTTGTGAATTCTTTCCTTTCGAACCATGTGAAATAGTTTTTTCAACTATCTGAGAAATCAAGTGTCCTACAAAAGTTACACAGAATTTATCTCCTTCAGGGACTTACATTTTGAACTAATTGCTTTATTAGCTTGCCCTTGGGCTTTACTGGCTGAGGAAATGGAGAGCAGCACACTCATTGCTTCACCTGAGCAAAAAGCTGTTTCCTCAAGAGAGACCCACCTGTCTCAGAAGTCTCTTCACTGCTTTTTGGGGATTCACATACTGTGGATCATAAATCAATGCTTTTAGCCCTTCCCTACCAGCCCAGGGCCTTGAAAGATGTCACTGCCTGGCTCATGAACACCATCCCTCCCCGCGATACACTTCTGTGCATCTGTTGATTCTAACGTAGCCTGCTGCCAGCTTTAACTTGCCAAGGGAGGATCTCTGGCTTTTTTCTAGGTGTTCCCTGGGGCTTGCGTCAAAGCTGTAGCTGCCTAATGGATGTGAAGTTCCCACACTAAATTATCTAAGGACTGGTTTCAAAGAAAAGGCAGGAGGCATCCCTCCCAGCGGGGAGCTGGTGCTTGGTGTGCAGGCAGCGAGGCAGGAGCAGGTCCTCCAACGCTCTCCTTGGCAGGTGGGCAGGCAATGGAGCCGTGCTCGGTCAGATGAATCCCTGTGCTCGTAGGCAAATGCCAGAGGAAAAACAGCAAACTGCAACCCAATGTTTTCTCTTTCCAGGATGGTTTCCAGAGGGATCATGCTTATCCTTCAGCCAGACTGACCAGCAGAAGGCTCAAGCTTTTGGAGATCTTTGAGGCATAACGTGATTTAGAGGCGTAACGGGAAGGAAGCTTAAAAGTCAACACTGGGAATCTGAAAGAAATTTGAAGGGCTGCGACCTGCTCTGGCCAAGGTGTGCAACTTGAAAAAAGAGAACGTCTGTGGCTAGAGAAAGCTCTAGCAGATACTCAACCAGATTTGGAGAATTTCCTTTTGGATAACTAGGACTGGTTTTGCAACCACTCCGTTCTGCTCAAAAGGAAACGGGTGGGATGCAACATTGCGGTCAGCGTTTGCACCCTGAGGACCCGATCCGAATCCGCACAGCGGTGCACGAATGCTCGGCAGAGGTGGGATCACAGTCAAGGGTGATGGGATCGCTCTCCAGACCCAGTGGCTGTAGTTCAGCCTGACGCCTTCTCCAGGCACCACTCCACAGCTCCGTCCGTCCGTTTGTCTGCTCAACAGAACCCTGCAGCATCACCAACCTTCTCTGAGAAAGGTCCTGCTTGGAATCCAGGGGGAAGGCAGCTTGCAGCCTCTCAGTTTGTTTTCTCAGGAACTTTGGCAATGCTGAACGTTATTGTCTCTTCGCTTTCATCGGACTATAATTCACAAAGCACAGGAGACAAAACCTACATCTGAAAAAAAAAAAAGCTTTCGTAGCTTTTTAACTATTGTTTCCTGTTGGGGTGTGATATTGTGATGTTCAAACTAATCACTTCTGAGGAGCATTTGTGAATTTCCAGAGTACGAAAGAAAAGTCACTGCAGTAGGTGACTCAATTCCACGTCTGATTTTGCTAAAATGCTGTCCAAGCTAGTGGGAAAAAATAGTGGGCATTTGGTATCAGTTTTATAATTGGGTTTTTCCATATTAGAATGGGAATTTTGTGAAGACTCAATTAAAAGGAGTGTCCTCCTATTCTTCTGTCACCCATCAGACTGAGTTGCACACGAATGCCAGCATGCTGTCATACATACTCTTCTCTTGTTTGCTGCTCTCTGTGCAAGCACAGAATTGCAATGTCCGTGACATTATCCGGTACACAAAACGCCTGCTTGTAAGTGGCTGTTAATTCTGTAAAAACGCATGCTTGTAAAGGAGATGCTAATAAATACTGATTTCTCACTTGTTATTCTTCCAGGATGAAAGTTCTGAAAGTTGCCCATGTAAGGAGACTGCTGTCAGTGTGAGTACCTCTCTTTTGAGAATATCATGAAATTAAACAAAATGAACCTGTGTCTTGAATGTGCGTAATGCTGGATTTTAACGCTCACTCTTTTCATTTTCAGTCATGTTCATGTCTTCCCATTGCTGAGGTAAGTCTATTTTTTAAAAACTATTGTAGGTGTTATAGAAGTTTGATATTAACTGAGCTTGTTACATTTGTTTACTTTGCTCCTTATGTAACTTTTGCTTTCGGTTACGAGGAATATGTCGATGCACTAGTAGTAGCAAAACTGAACTTGATGAATAGTGATGGGGAAAGAAGCAGAAGTCCTCCCATTATCAGGGCAATCAGAACCAAGCCCAGAGTCAGGCAAAAGTCCTCTGTGGGCTTGACTCACAAATCAAAAGATACAGGCTCTTGTTTTGCAAGTCTCCATGAGACCTCATTTAATGATTTAGTGCCTCAATACTGAGTGAAGCTGGGCCAGGGATGTCAGGCCTCAGGTGCTTGGCTTTAGGTGTATCCAACTCTATTTCATCTTTTGTAAGCCCGCTCAGATATGGTGAAACCCAGCAATAGCTGAAACTATGCTTCAGAGAGGTTACTTTTATGATTTGAGGTTTTCCGAGAGATGTTTCTTGTCGCATCCATGAGGTTTTGGTGTTTTACAACCCCCCCCAAAGTTCTTGTACCAGTTTTCATAAGAATGCAAAATATGTTGCATTTAGTTGTGACACACCATGTTTAGGAATAGGCATTTCCTCTTTCTGTAGATAAACACAAAATGCATTCTAGCTTTTTGTAATGCCTTCTTCAACAGCCTGGCCATGAATTGGCGTGCTTTGTGGAAGGAACCGAACACATGCTGAAAAACAACGTATCTTCAAACGCGGTGATCACAAGGCTTAACCGAACCTTTCAGACTCAGCTGGATAGAAACCTCTGCGAAGTAAGACTTTTCTTATTTTTCTACAGATCTTCGTCTATCTTTTAAAAAAGAAATCTTATATATAT